TTGCCACATCACATTTGTTTGGTTTGATTATCGATGGAGCAAAGTTGTATTTGCTAATACAATCGACTACATAACTTATTTTTTGCTTATAATTAGGTGGATCTTATGTAAGGGTTGTATTAAAGTGATGAAGGACTCTTAGTTGAATTTTCCAACAATGATACCTTTGAATTTCGCATATGGTAACTGGGCAGATGTAAATTCCAAGGAAGGCTGGGCGAGTTTGTAACTGTGGTCCAGCCTAGGTGAGAACACCTTTTGGAAAATAGGGCTATATGTAATTTCGAAGGAAAAGTGAGGCTTACTTGTATCATGGTGAGAAACTTCAACTACCACTCTATCATTGCCTTGAATCAAATAGGGTGAATACAGCTCTTATATGAAGTCTAATGTTAGTGTTGAAAACCTACTTGTGAGCAAACAACTATGTACTCCTGCTTCTTACAGCTTCCTTACAATATTTTGCAACTAATATTGTGTTCGGTTGAGGCAGTACATCACAGCTTAAGACAGTAAAAGCTTTAGATATCATCCAATCTGTGATCATCTCATATCTCAGGGTTTGCGAAAAATAGACAAAAACAGTGCAAATAGTCAGATTGAGTTGGTTTCCAAACCATACTACATTGTAATAAACAAGGTAAAATTATGGTAGTGAAGGTGTAATACAAGGACATAGAATTGGTGAATAGCCCAGTACAGAAGGAGAGATACCACAACTATTTAGCACACCTTTGGTCAAAGTATTGGCTTAATTTGTCTCTTTTGACGAGTTGTAATGTGGTGCTAAGAATGGCGAGACTCACCGACGATGCCGACTACGATGCCGGCAAAACGTCTGAAAATGTGCCACGTGCACAGTCCGACTTTGGAACTGATGATGCATACAATGGACTCCAGACTAGGTGCGTTCCTCTAGTTCTTTAGACCAATGTGACCAAGTTGCGAAAACAGGGTCAAGCAACTTCTATTTGTTGCTAGACCTGTGCATTCATTCATTACTATATCATGCACCAGGTTGTTATGGCCGATTTTAATGGCAAATGCGTATTTGCCTGAGATACAATTCCAAAATTATGTGCCCGAGTCGGGAGAGGCCCGACTGGCCTGAAAAATCACATCCGCCCTGTGATGCCGCAGATCTCGGTTGTGTGAATGGATAAGATACAGATAAGGTTCAAGCTGTACTTCAACCTGGAGGAGCAAATCTCTTCGAGGGCAAGGCCGAATAAAACTCAGCGGCATCGCGAGGTGATTCCTTTATCAGGCCTTGCGTCAAGTTAAGAGAACTATAGCAATTGGGAACTTACTATTATATTATTAATTTTTTATTTACCAGCATCATTAACCAATTAATTATTAAATGTTTTTTATTCATTTATTATTTTCACTTGATAATAGTAATTAGTATTAGTATTATTAAGGTATTACTGACGGCTTCTAGGCGTATTTGCATATGTAATTTTTTGGCGCTACGTTGACTCGAGGCCGGCCTGGAACCAAATCTCAAGCGTCTAATGGGCTGGATCTAGCAACTAAAGAAAGCTACACTTTGGCTAGCGTTAACATCTGCCGGCCACGTGATAGGATGGCGAATTATGCCATCTGGGAAAGGTCAAATATTTGGCTTGATCAGCTCGTGCACCCCCGTCTTTCTGATGTTCAAAGGGCGCGTTGTCATTCTGGTAAGTTTGCAGACTTGACCTCGCCCAGACCTTGTTGGCTCTCGCCCGGTGGCGCTAACCTCGGGTCTACCGGTGTAGAGGTGTGTAGAGGTGAGTAGAGTGTCAACAGTACCCTCTCACCGAGACACCTTTTCCGAACGTAAACCAGATCGAGCAAGTAATGATCAGATCTGGGTCAAGTCGAAGAGGCTAAAAGTGTGTTTAAATCTGTAGTCACAATCAGTTTTGTTACGTCGCTCTTGACAGCCAGCCAATAAGCGATGACATGTCAACTCACGCAACACCACACAGAGCATGACGATAAGCACTTTCGCGCGCGGATACCACGGCCTGCGCGGAATAAGCAAAACTATTCATCACATCGAGCCTCTCCGTTGAACCAATCAGAAAGTGGCATTAAGGGAACACATGAGTAGCTTAAACTAGAAATTCCATAGAAGAGGAGTGCGTCCTAGCCACATTCTGTGAGCCATTGTGGCTTAATGTGAAACTATGTGTCTCTGTGACTCGGTGATTCATGATGCGTTTCTGTGCTTTTATATGTCTCTGTAATATTCTGTGACATTCCCTATCTATCTTTGTCTCTTTCTTTTTCTCTGTGTCTCCGTGTCACTGTGACTGTCTGCGTTTGTATTTACGTGAATTTATCTGTTGACCTTCTCTGTTTCACTCTTTATCTTTATTTTTTATGTGCTCTGTGATATTTTCTTTCTCTCTTTGTCGCTTTCTTTTTCAATGTATCTCTCTGTGTCTCTCTGCAAATTTCTGCGTTTCTATATGTCTCCCTGTATCTCTCTGTGACTATTTGTAACTTTGTTGAATCTCTATCAATCTATGTGAGCTTCTATATGTTTCTGTAACTATCTTTGCCTCGCCTTGACGCTCTGTGTCTCTGATTAGTTCTTTGTGACTCTCTGACTCTGTGATTCCCTGCGAATGTTTGGGACTCTCTTTAACCGAACACTGCTATGTTGCTTTTTCACAACTCTCTGCTATCCTATTTGTTTGCCCATATCTAATCCTTGTCTGTAAATTTCCTTCCTCTATACATGAGACTCCGTGACCAGTTTTCTTGCTCTTCTATTCAAGACCGGGTTACTCTTTGCAGTAGCACAAAGCCTGATTTATTATTTTAATATGTCTACACATCAATTTTGGAAAGGATCCTTTGTAGCTATATGTTCCTTCAGCTCAATCGGTGCTTTCTTGTCATCAGACCTTTGATATCGAATATGAGCTTGAATGCAAGGGATTTGCATCTAGGCACCACCGGAAGCCGAGAACGATCGTCTTGCTATTGTGAGATTAATTGGTTTTCGATGAATTCTTGAATACTGGAGACTTTTGTTTGGTATAAAAGTAAGAGTGAACAGGTTCCTGGATCGACACCACCAGAAAATGACGACTGATCCCTGTTATTCTGCAATCGTTAGGCCTTGACAAGACGTTCACGTTGACGAATTCCATAAAAGAATTTTCCTTGTATTAGGTGCAAAACGAGCTGGGCCTTCGTCCGTCATGCTATTTGACGGACATACTCAAAATTGTAACTTATTTTTGCAAAAGCTTTAGGTTAACACCAAATGACAATGACCATCCTGCTCTAGCCTACATGCTATGCATTCTCATAAATGAAAACTAAAATACATACATGCATATGGATACAGGATGATATGGCTAGATTCATTTCAAATTAATAAGGATACTTTTAATTAATGTATGTGTGAGTGTGTGTTTTTGGCGTGTGTACGGGCGTACAAGTGTACGAGTTAAAGTCAGGCTACGCAATAGCAGTCGCAATTCAGTATAATAATAAAGGGCCATATCATCTGGCCTGGGTCATCAGGGTTTAAAGAATCTGAATTGCAATGAAGTATAAGCATCTTGATTAAATGAAAAAGAACTAACCAACCAGCTGTTTATGTGTATATATTTTCGCTTTTGTTTGACCATAAATAGCATGTAGGATATAGTCGGATAGTCTTCTGGACATAGTTTCAATTTGAAGCTTGTGTAAGAATGAGTTACAGGTCTAATAATCTTTGTCATTTGGCCCCAATGACATTCGAGTCCGGGTTGTGAGTATCGTGGCTACGGTTGCCAGATGGTTACAGGGCAGATTTGATGCTAAAGGCAGGCCAGGCCCCTCCAAACTCAAATATTATTGTGGGATTGTCGACAAGACAAACATATGCTTCAAGTTCATATTGACAAATTTCATATACTCCCGAAAACTGCGAATTTCGAGATTACAAAATCGTTTCCAAGATGGTTTTGTGGAACAGCTGGCTTTCCTTGCTTTTCCCCCAAACATTTCCTGTTCAGTCTCAGGGGTTTCTAATTGTGGACGTGCTGTCAGTCCCAATGATAGAAATGAGCATTGTGCATTTCAAGAACACTCAAAGAATGCGAACCGGAAACACATAAAAATTGGTGGACAAACCGGCTCAGAAGATGTCACAAGGTCAAACAGAAAAGGAGCTCCAAAGCCGAGGGCACGAGATGCACTTCTCTGAGGGGCACAGTTCGTCTAAAATATTCCATCGTAATGAGGAAAGGAAAATTGGGCCAGCATTCATTTTTTAGAATGTCGCCAAGCGGGCTCAAGGGATACAGACTACGAGGAAAAATTCGAAAAAGACTTTTAATCACACCTTAGATCGCGTTAGGTGATGAAGGACTTTTGGTTGAATTTTCCAATATTCATATAAGTAGAAAAAAAAATTCATTGAATTTATCTTAGACTTCTCGGTGTGCTGTTTTAATCTCATCCGAATCTAATCAGCACCCCAGACGGAAACCCAAGCCTTTCACATACCACATTGTGTAGTAGAAGTTTCGATTGGGCAAACTTGTCTTTGCTAGTACGCACTACGAATATATGAACTCATTTGTTTTTCGCCTGAATCAGTATCCTGCCGCATATCTTCACAACTATATGTATGGAACAAAAAAGGATAAGACCGCCCTCAGTGAATACTCTAAACATGTTCATGGAAGACAAGGTGGTTCTATAATATCTGCATGACCTTTCAAGAACATGTATGATTAAAGTATTTAAACGTTTCTTAGTATTATTCTTTTGGAGTCTAGACCCTAGACCTTTGTAGTTGAATTGGTGATGAGATTGTTGAGGTAGCATACATTTATGTCGTCATTACAGTAGACTGCGTTGCTTATTATCAAATAAAGTAGGCTTCGAAATTATCATACGCCATAAATGGGAGTTGCACTTCACATGAGTGTGGGAAAATCAAACTATCCGTCCTTCGTCACTTTATATGGCCTAGGATTAATGAAGCTCTTATTCAAGATTCAATAATAGTTTTGAAACTAACTTTATATGAGTACCTATTCAGAATAGTCAAGACAACACAAACTTGCCTTAATAGCTTTGCCATAAGGGTCGAAGCCGAACGATTGGACGTAAAAGCAGCCTAAGTCAGAGTAGGAATTATATTTGTGGACAAAGAGTACTTTATAGGCGAGGGAGACTCAGTATTTACGAACGAGCCGAATCTCGGCAGCACAAAGGGACCTCGAGGGTGCTTATGCGAGCTTAGAAGATCGGCTCCAAAGCATGCTACACTCTGATCAAGAGCCACAGCAACATTGCGACATTGCTACGGGGACCGGAAGTGAAGTTGGTCATCGTTTGGATACTTTATAAGCAACACTGGGGCTTGTCAACTCGTCCGAGGAGCATTCAAGACAAGGCATAAAGATGGTAGTTCCTGCAAGCAGATCACATCGGTGAAAGTAGGAGGCTGTCTAGTTACTTAATAACTTGAAATGACCCGCTAGCGATGAAGGACTGACAGTTGAATCCAAACAATTTGAGATAAGTGTAAGGCTTTAACGCGTCAGAGTCAGATTTTCGCTGAGAGTGTGGTTGAGGCCAGTTTAGACGAGGTCGAAACTGCGGTCCAGTTCAGTGAGGATGAGAATAACTTTTGGGAAGTAATTATAAGGAAAAATTCCATCGCACCGTGAGGCTTACTTGTCGTATTGTGGGAACATTCACTACAAGCGATCTAAAAGGACTAAAGATCTTAGTCGAGATTTACCTATAGTCTCAAATTTCCACTTAATTCCAATAAAACGCACCCCTTTCCTCTCAGTTCAGGTTAAATCAAAAATATTTGGGGCGACTATAAGGCTTTTAGGTATCCGGTACCTCCTCGGGGTATGCGAAGTGAGCAGTGAGCTATGATTACTGCTTTTGAAGAATTTTGGTGAATGATGGTTTCTAGTTCTGACGATGTCCGCCACACAACGGACAAGAGCTTCACACAATCCAACAGCCACAATTCAAAGGCTGAACTACGAATCCCTTGCATCCACGCCTTTAAACAAAATGAAGCCCAGAGGTCCAAGTTGACAAGCCAGTGGCACCTATCAAACGTCAGATTGGCGTAGAGAAGTCGTAATTTCGACTAGTTTATTTTTGCAATTTTGTGATCTATGACTCATGTACGTTCGCCCCGGTGACATCATCTCCACTACGAGTGGCTTAGACGCTGCGGGGTATGGAGTATTTGGGAGTACATAGCTTTAGCTGAGCGAATCGCATGCCCTAATCGCCAGCTGGGGTGGAGTATAATTGGAGTTTTACGAGAGTGGATAAACCCGATAAAAGTGCAGTCCTCTTGACTGCAAGTTAATGGAAGAAGAAATAGCTGATGAAGCCGGAGACGGCGAGTAATGAACTCATGAAATCCCAGTCAAGTCGGCTATGCTTCGGGCTGTCTTAGGAGTTTGTGGGAGGGAGATAAAGTTTCTCATTCGAATATGACGGTTGGCCTGGTTTTGGGTCAGCGAGTGGAGATTGCAGTTGGAAGACCGAGTGCATGAGTCATGCCTGAGCATGGAGGATAAGGGTGTGGCTCAGGCGTGAACTGGGCAAGGTGGAAATATGATGAGAAAAGGGATTGCTGCATAAAATGGTACTTTGGAATTCGATTGACTGAGCTGACTCACTGAGTACAAAGTACAGGGGACAGTTGAGAGAGGTGGCTAGACTCGTGGTTGCGACACTCGGCTAAAACGATGTATTTATTAAGAGTTAAGCTGCTTTAGCACACAATTACATTGACTCTGTCTATAATGCATTCAATTTCACTTCGCAATGCTCCCCAAACTGTTGTCATTGTCTTAAGCCAGAACTGTAATTTTGGACTTGCATTATAGTTTTATCAACGGCACCGGCGGCATTTGAGCCGTAGTCATGTAGCCTTAAAAGGCGAATTTTAATCTCCCTCAACTTCACGAGCTCTCTCAATTTGCCTCGGAAGT